ACTCCAGTGGCACCATACCGGCTATGACGAGCGCCACGTCATCGGAGATAGTCCTGAAAGCGCAGCTGACTCTGATTGCGCTCAGCCTGTAGATCGCGCAAATGCCCCGGCTGTAGCTCGGCGTTGCCATCGCTCTTGCCCATATTGGCGCAGCATAGAGGATGACAGACCTAATGACGCTCATTAGGAGGAGACGTCGTTGCTGTTTAGGTCCCCGCGTGTTAAGCATGATTCTCGAGAGAGCTCTACATGAATCAGCTGCCTTTTTATGCACATATTCTAAGTGCTCGCGGAAGGTTAATCTTGTGTCTATCATGACACCAAGATATCTTATCGCCCTCTTTGACGCAATGGTGACGCTGCCGATCTTTATATTGGCAGTTTCCACTCTTTTGCGACTGCTGACTAGTACAACTTTGGTCTTGTGTGCCGCTAGCTCGAGCCCAGCTCCTGTCAACCAGCTTCGTATGCGATTGATACTTTCGCTGCACATATCCTCTGTATCTTTGAGCTCCTTTCCTATGGCTACGACAGCTACATCATCAGCAAAGCCAATGGTGTGCGCGCCTGCTGGTAGTTCCAAGCGCAGTACGCCGTCGTACATGATGTTCCATAGGAGAGGCCCCAGCACTGAGCCTTGGGGTACTCCAGCTGACACTGTATGAGTTTGGGGACCCTCACTCGTGTTGTATACCAGTGTTCTTCCTCTGAAGTAGCTCTTTATTATCTCTCTTAGATATTTAAGGATATTATATTGTGACAGCGCATTCAGTATCATATCCCAACTAGCTAGTTGAAGGCATTCCTTACATCCAGGGTCGCAATGATGCAGTATTCCTTCGTCCCGTGCCTCCATCTGGTGCCTTGAATGGCGGAAGTGGCCAGACCGACAACTTTGTTAAGCGCGTCCGTTGTTGACCGGGCCTTCCGGAATCCAAATTGGTTTGGTGACAGGCCTCCGGCGCTTGCAATCGCAGTCTCCAGCCTGGAGCAGATCAGTTTCTCAAACACCTTTCCCATGGTGTCTAAAAGACAGATCGGTCTGTACGAAGATGGCTCATCTGGTGGTTTGCCAGCCTTGAGTAGCAATACCAGATTCTGGGCTTTCCATTTTGCCGGGAACGTCTCTTGGATCAGGCATTCGTTAAATAATTCGGCAAACGTACTTGGGTGCAAGGCGAGGGCTAGCTTTAGCGCACGATTTGGGATCCCGTCCGGCCCTGGAGCTGTGTTGGTTCTAAGACCTCGGAGAACTACTGATATTTCTTCCTCTGTAACTAAAACAATTTCAGTGCTCGTTGAGCCTTGATCAGCAGACTCGGACTCAGGGGCGTGAATGGAGCTTAAACTTTCTGGAAAGAGTGTTTCCACAATCGATTTAAGCTCCAGACGATCCGTAGGCTGCACCTGTCTACCTGCGTATAGTCTTTTAACTACTATCTTATATGCCCTGCCCCAAGGGTCATATTCGGCTGAGTCGCACAACTGTAAAAAACATTCTCTTTTGCTTGCCCGAATGGCCTTCTTCAGCTGTCTTCTAGCTGCCTGGTAAGCTAACTGTTTCTCAAAAAACGTTGACCTACCGCGAGCCCGTTGGTAGCTTCTTCTCGCCTGGATGCATTTGCGACGAATGTCACCTATTTGCGTATTCCACCAATACGTAGGCTCATGTTGTCGCGTGAACTGCTTGCGGCGTAACATGCTGCTATTGCAGGCACTCTGTATTTGGGCTACCATTTGGCATACTCTGGCCTCAGCATTACCAATTGTACCCAGAGACTGAATGGCCTCTGAAAAGACCGCGGGATCAAAAGTATCTAGCCGATACGACTGCATCCACAATGTTGACGCCCTGGCAGGTGGCTCACCTATTGTGAACAGAAGTGCCGTATGATCGCTGCCTGTATAGCTATCGCAATGGCTCCATGTTGCTCCCCGAAAGAGGGATGAGGTGACAAAAGTAATGTCGATAACAGACCCGTATCCCGCCCGACTGAAGGTGTACTCATGGCCAGTGTTGAGCAGTGCAACATCTAGTGTCGCGAAGATCTCCAGTAGGATACGACCTCTGACATTTGTTGTGGGGCTACCCCATTCTAGCGCCCAGGAGTTAAAATCTCCAGCTATAATGGCCTTCCGACCCCTAGCATCCTCGGCAAGCTCGTCGAGCACCGTCGTGTATTCACTGAGCTGCATGCTGGGGGCCAGATAGCAACTGTAGAGCCATAAGCTACCATATCGGCCACGTACGAACCCATTGAATGACTTAACATTCGAAAGTACGTTCGTTGAGTTGCCGCATACCCACAACGCAGCTTTGCCATTAACGTCTGTTGACCATGTCCTAGGGCAGCTGGTTCTACAGTGGTGAAGCTCACTGAGAAAAGCTACATCTATACATTTTTCCCTAATGGTCTGCTTTAGAAGATCTTGGGCAGCAACACAATGATTTAAGTTAAGCTGCAAAAACCTTAACATTTCATTTTACGAGCAGCTTCACGGTAAGATGGGCACTTGAAGCTGCCTGCTGAATGGTCCGTCTGCTTTTCACCTTACCGGATGCAGAGGCTACATTTTGGTGGCTTGTTGCATGCTTTGGCACTGTGACCCATCTCTTCACACCTGAAACAGGCGCCCTTCAGGTCACAGTCGCTGCGACAGTTTGCTGCCATATGACCGTAATCGAGGCACTTAAAACAGCGTTTAGGCTGTTCCACAGCTCGGATACGGCATACTACCCATCCTATTCTAATTTTGGACAGCTCGAGCAGAGTTTTAGCTTTCCCAATTGGAAGAGCAACCGTAGCTCTTTGCTGTCCACCAAAAGCTGGCCGAAGCGATTTGATAGCCTCAATGGGGAGTGAGCTATCCTTCAACTCCACCCTAATTGCCTCCAAGATCTCCTCTTTGGTCGCTAACTCATCTAGATCGCGAATCTCAACTTGGGCCGATTCGGTAAGTGTTTTAACTACCGCTCGGTCTCCTAAGGCCTTGCCTACAGCTTCGTGCAGAGCCTCAGCGCTATGCTCCGGCTTCCTACTCAGTTGCAATAAGAGGTCCCCCTTAGCTGTCTTCCTAATGCCTTGAACGTCGCTGCTCAGATGCTTCAAATTTGGGTCGCTTTTAACTACACGGAGCATGTCCGCATAGCTGCAACCCCCTACGCCTGAAATCGCAATCGCGTCAGTCCTGGGACGTTTTTGCATAGGCTTTCGCCCTTTAACGACTGTCCAGCTGCTCTGGTTTGTCTGTCGAGCGGCCTGGTTTGAAGTTTCAGCTGCAGCCCGTAGAGCCATTGGTTCTTTTGGGTTCGCTGCACTTCTATTGGGCCTCGGCTTTTTTGAGGGAGTTTTCCTCTGTTCGGAGGCAACTTCCCTCGACCGCTTGGGAGTATTGCTACCTACTGTAGCACTAATGCTCGCTGCTGTGTATGTGTGTATGTATGTGTGTGTATGTATGCCTGTGTGTGCGTGCGTGCGTGTGTGTGTGTGTGTGTCCGTGTTTCTTGTGTAAGCTGAAAGGCGCGAAAAATTATTGAAATAGCTATTACTCCAAGGGTTCAGGGGATCTCGTAGTCGATTAGTCTCGGCTAGAGCTTTCTTACTTGTTATTTGTTGGGTTCAGGGTAGTATCTAGTCGAGCACTCTCGACTAGAGTTTTCTTTCTTGTTTTTATACCCTGGACCCATTGATAATGGGAAATCAGGGTATAATGGTTTTGTTAAAAGTATGTAACAGGCAGAAGGAGGCGTGGCAGACCCCACAAAGTATATATATTCTTGATCAGGGCGACGAGCTGAGTCGATTTGGCCCTGTCCATCTGTCTGTCCGTCCGTCCGTCCGTCCGTATGTATGAACGCGTCGATCTCAGAAGATATAAGAGCTAGAGACTTGAAATTTTTTTCCTAGGTCCGTGTATATCACGCGCATATCAAGTTTTTCTTTTATATCGATAACTACTCCCGATATTTTATTATCGATTAAAAACCTTATCGAAAGCTAGTTATTTAATTATATCTCCTACACCTTTAGAGCTAGAGCTTGCAAATTTTAAATGAAGACTTATATGTATTTTATATAATTTCGATTTTTATTGTTATTTACCCCCCACCCCTATATCCACCCCCTCACCATCACCTTTGTACAAGGCGTATTTCAAGTACTAGAGACTTGTGCTTCGGAACGTACATACATTTTAACCGTATGATTACGCCCTGAAAGTTTCATCAAGATTGTACGTCTAGAAATTAAATTATTCAACAAATAAATTCTTATAATGTGGCCCACACTGCAGCGCAGCCCAAGCGCAGTCGCTGCTTACTGCGCAGTTAGCAGAGCCCGTTCTAATGCGTGTGTATGTATGTGTGTCGAAAAGAAGTGCAGACTGATTAGAATATTAGATTAGAGGGTTCAGGGTATATCCTAGTCGAGCAGTCTCGACTAGAGTCTTCTTACATGTTTTTTTATTTGTTTATTGACAATCTTAATACAAGTTGCAAGTTGTGTGTTGGCTAGGATAGTGCGCGATGCTTGCGGGACGGCCGTAAAGCATTGCTTCGCAAGCACTGTGCGCTACCTTAGCCTGGGACAGCTCGTCTTCTCATTCGCTCGACTCTGCGGAGCTCCATCATCACTGTGGCCGCGAAGGTACTTGTTAGTTCCCAAGCTTCCTCCGATTCTAGCATGGCGTTGACTAAGTTGTCCGCTCTGATGCAGCGGCCCACTGCCTCTTCCAGACGACGCCTCTCGTCCAGGAACCGCCCACATTCGAAAAGAACGTGGTTGACGTCTTCGACATGCCCTCGCTCGCACCAAGGGCACTCGTCAGATTCCTCGTGGCCAAAGCGCTGCAAATAGCTCCGAAAGCATCCATGTCCCGAGAGGATCTGCGTAAGGTAGAAGTTTACCTCGCCGTGTTTTCGGTTGACCCATGGTTCAAGCTCCGGGATGAGCTTGTGCGTCCACCGCCCTTTAGCTGAGCTATTCCACTTTCTTTGCCAGCGTGCAAAGCTGTTCGCCCTGATAGCGTTGAGACGCGCAGGCGCGTGTGAATTCCGCTCCACGGCTTCGGCGACCAAGTACTCCAGTGGTACCATACCAGCTATGACGAGCGCCGCGTCATCGGAGATAGTCCTGATAGCGCAGCAGGCTCTGATTGCGCTTAGTCTGTAGATCGCGCAAATGCCCCGGCTGTAGCTCGGCGTTGCCATTGCTCTTGCCCATATTGGCGCAGCATAGAGGATGACGGACCTAATGACGCTCATTAGAAGGAGACGTCATTGCTGTTTAGGTCCCCGCGTGTTAAGCATAATTCTCGAGAGAGCTCTACAAGAATCAGCTGCCTTTTTATGCACATATTCTAAGTGCTCGCGGAAAGTTAATCTTGTGTCTATCATGACGCCAAGATACTTTATCGCCCTCTTTGACGCAATGGTGACACTGCCGATCTGTTTCAGTTTTGTGTGCCGCTAGCTCGAGCCCAGCTCCTGTCAACCAGCTTCGTATGCGATTGATACTTTTGCTGCACATATCCTCTGTATCTTTGAGCTCCTTTCCTATGGCTACGACAGCTACATCATCAGCAAAGCCGATGGTGTGCGCACCTACTGGTAGCTCCAAGCGTAGTACGCCGTCGTACAGATATTCCATAGGAGAGGCCCCAGCACTGAGCCTTGGGGTACTCCAGCTGACACTGTATGAGTTTGGGGACCCTCACTCGTATTGTATACCAGTGTTCTTCCTCTGAAGTAGCTCTTTATTGTTTCTTTAAGATATTTAGGGATATTATATTGTGACAGCGCATTCAGTATCATATCCCAACTAGCTGTATTGAAGGCATTCTTTACGTCCAGGGTCGCAATAATGCAGTATTGCTTCGTCCCATGCTTCCATCTTGTGCCATGGATGGCGGAAGTGGCCAGACCAACAACTTTGTTTAGCGCATCCGGAATCCAAATTGATTTGGTGACAGGCCTCCGGCGCTAGTAATCGCAGTCTCCAATCTAGAGCAGATCAGTTTCTCAAACACCTTTCCCATGGTGTCTAAGAGACAGATCGGTCTGTATGAAGATGGCTCATCTGGCGGTTTGCCGGCCTTGGGTAGCAACACCAGGTTCTGGGCTTTCCATTTTGCCGGGAACGTCTCTTGGATCAGGCATTCGTTAAATAATTCGGCAAACGTACTTGGGTGCAAGGCGAGGGCTAGCTTTAGCGCACGATTTGGGATGCCGTCCGGCCCTGGAGCAGTGTTGGTTCTAAGACCCCCGGAGAGTTACTATGATTTCTTCCTCTGTGACTAAAACAATTTCAGTGCTCGTTGAGCCCTGATCAGCAGACTCGGATCCAGGGGCGTGAATGGAGCTTAAACTTTCTGGAAAGAGTGTTTCCACAATCGATTTAAGCTCCAGACGATCCGTAGGCTGCACCTGTCTACCTGCGTATAGTCTTTTAATTACTATCTTATATGCCCTGCCCCAAGGGTCATATTCGGCTGAGTCGCACAACTGTAAAAAACATTCTCTTTTGCTTGCCCGAATTGCCTTCTTCAGCTGTCTTCTAGCTGCCTGGTAAGCTAACTGTTTCTCAAAAAACGTTGACCTACCGCGAGCCCGTTGGTAGCTTCTTCTCGCCTGGATGCATTTGCGACGAATGTCACCTATTTGCGTATTCCTCCAATACGTAGGCTCATGTTGTCGCGTGAACTGCTTGCGGCGTAACATGCTGCTATTGCAGGCACTCTGTATTTGGGCTACCATTTGGCATGCTCTGGCCTCAGCATTACCAATTGTACCCAGAGACTGAATGACCTCTGAAAAGACCGCGGGATCAAAAGTATCTAGCCGATACGACTCCCTCCACAATGTTGACGCCCTGGCAGGTGGCTCACCTATTGTGAACAGAAGTGCCGTATGATCGCTGCCTGTATAGCTATCGCAATGGCTCCATGTTGCTCCCCGAAAGAGGGATGAGGTGACAAAAGTAATGTCGATAACAGACCCGTATCCCGCCCGACTGAAGGTGTACTCATGGCCAGTGTTGAGCAGTGCAACATCTAGTGACGCGAAGATCTCCAGTAGGATACGACCTCTGGCATTTGTTGTGGGGCTACCCCATTCTAACGCCCAGGAGTTAAAATCTCCAGCTATAATGGCCTTCCGACCCCTAGCATCCTCGGCAAGCTCGTCGAGCACCGTCGTGAATTCACTGAGTTGCATGCTGGGGGCCAGATAGCAACTGTAAAGCCATAAGCTACCATATCGGCCACGTACGAACCCATTGAATGACTTAACATTCGAAAGTACGTTCGTTGAGTTGCCGCATACCCACAACGCAGCTTTGCCATTAACGTCTGTTGACCATGTCCTAGGGCAGCTGGTTCTACAGTGGTGAGGCTCACTGAGAAAAGCTACATCTATAAATTTTTCCCTAGTGGTCTGCTCTAGAAGATCTTGGGCAGCAATACATTGATTTAAGTTAAGCTGCAAAAACCTTAACATTTCATTTTACGAGCAGCTTCACGGTAAGATGGGCACTTGAAGCTGCCTGCTGAATGGTCCGTCTGCTTTTCACCTTACCGGATGCAGAGGCTACATTTTGGTGGCTTGTTGCATGCTTTGGCACTGTGACCCATCTCTTCACACCTGAAACAGGCGCCCTTCAGGTCACAGTCGCTGCGACAGTTTGCTGCCATATGACCGTAATCGAGGCACTTAAAACAGCGTTTAGGCTGTTCCACAGCTCGGATACGGCATACTACCCAACCTATTCTAATTTTGGACAGCTCGAGCAGAGTTTTAGCTTTCCCAATTGGAAGAGCAACCGTAGCTCTTTGCTGTCCACCAAAAGCTGGCCGAAGCGATTTGATAGCCTCAATGGGGAGTGAGCTATCCTTCAACTCCACCCTAATTGCCTCCAAGATCTCCTCTTTGGTCGCTAACTCATCTAGATCGCGAATCTCAACTTGGGCCGATTCGGTAAGTGTTTTAACTACCGCTCGGCCGCCCAAGGCTTTGCCTACAGCTTCGTGCAGAGCCTCAGTGCTATGCTCCGGCTTCTTACTCAGTTGCAACAAAAGATGCTTTAAATTTGGGTCGCTCTTGACTACGCGAAGCATGTCCGCATAGCTGCAACCACCTACACCTGAAACCGCGATGGCGTCACTTCTGGAACGTTTTTGCAGCGGCTTGCGTCCCTTAACAACCGTCCAGCTGTTCGAACTCGTCTGTCGACCTGCCTGGTTGGTTTTATCGGCTGCAGCCCGTAGAGCCATTGGCTCTATTGGATTTGCTGCGCTTTTATTGTGCCTCGGCTTTTTCGAGGGCATTTTCCTCTGTTCGGAGGCAACTTCCCTCGACCGCTTGGGCGTATTACTACCTGCTGTAGCACCAACGCTCGCTGTTTTAGCCTTCTCAGCTACTTTCTTGACCAGCGTGGTCTACACCTCGCAGTCTTTGACCGGTCGGTTGCAGAACGCTTCGGCCGTCTTGTGGAGACTGACCAGCCTAGCCAGCTCCTCTCTCATTAGGGCATTACTATGCCGCTGACCCCCAAATATGGCAGCCAAGCCCTCTAGCGTAACTCCTATTTGGGCTAATGCTTCTTTTAAAGGCTTGGGTGCCTGGCACTCAGCCACTGGAGACTGATTACAAGTCGACGGCTGCTGCAGCGCCCTCTGTTGTTGCTGCGGTGATCGCTGCAACGAGGAACGGCGCGCGAAAGCTTGCAGCTCCTCCTCCATCATGGCCTCCATATTGCTCCGACTACCACGGCGTGAAGCCTGTAGTGGGCACTGCCTACTAATATAATTAGAGCTTAGAGACCGCAGTAACTTAAACTCAACTTAACTACAGCGAGAGCCCGAAAGTATGCACTACTTTTAATACCTGCTACCTCACACCAGCAGGTTGCTGACATTGCTGAGACTTAGCAACTCACCAAAGTTAGTGAGCAGCTGATTGTCCGCTGCAATTTCCAGCACTACTAACAGCTGTTAGAGTGAATGCACCTGATTTTTTATTATTTGCACAAATGTGACGCCTAATGTGACAAATCTTTTCGCGCTTAAAAAAGAAAGGGAAAGAGGAAAGCCCTGACGCCAAAAACAGTGACGCTATTGCCCTCCTCTCATGCACCACCGGTTTGTATCACTGGGGTACTCTGCGATACCGTACTCTGAGTGTGTGTGTGTGTGTGTGTATGTATGTGTGTGTATGTATGTGTGTGTATGTATGCCTGTGTTTTTTTTTTTTTTTTATATTCATTTATTGACAAAATTATATAACAAATTGCAAGTTGCGTGGTGGCTAGGATAGCGCGCGGTGCTTGCGGGACGGCCGTAAAGAATTGCTTCGCAAGCACTGTGCGCTACCTTAGCCTGGGACAGCTCATCTTCTCATTCGCTCGACTCTGCGGAGCTCCATCATCACCGCGGCCGCGAGGGTGCTTGTTAGTTCCCAAGCTTCCTCCGATTCCAGCATGGCGTTGACTAAGTTGTCCGCTCTGATGGAGCGGCCCACTGCCTCTTCCAGACGACGCCTCTCCTCCAGGAACCGTCCACATTCGAAAAGAACGTGGTTGACGTCTTCGACATGCCCTCGCTCGCACCAGGGGCACTCGTCAGATTCCTCGTGGCCAAAGCGCTTCAAATAGCTCCGAAAGCATCCATGACCCGAGAGGATCTGCGTAAGGTAGAAGTTAACCTCGCCATGTTTGCGGTTAACCCATGGTTCAAGCTCCGGGATGAGCTTGTGCGTCCACCGCCCTTTAGCTGAGCTATTCCACCTTCTTTGCCATCGTGCGATGCTGTTCGCCCTGACAGCGTTGAGTCGCGTAGGCCCGTGCGAATTCCGCTCCACGGCTTCGGCGAATACTCCAGTGGCACCATACCGGCTATGACGAGCGCCACGTCATCGGAGATAGTCCTGAAAGCGCAGCTGACTCTGATTGCGCCCAGCCTGTAGATCGCGCAAATGCCCCGGCTGTAGCTCGGCGTTGCCATCGCTCTTGCCCATATTAGCGCAGCATAGAGGATGACAGACCTAATGACGCTCATTAGGAGGAGACGTCGTTGCTGATTAGGTCCCCGCGTGTTAAGCATGATTCTCGAGAGAGCTCTACAAGAATCAGCTGCCTTTTTATGCACATATTCTAAGTGCTCGCGGAAAGTTAATCTT